ATGTAAGGGTTTTATTATTTCTATATGTGTGTAAATAAATAGTCGTTCGAAAACTAAACGAACATATGTGTATATAGTGGTCGGTATGTATATTTCTACGTTAATTTTACGGACTTAGTTGGGATAGATTTTACCTAATTTGCCCATGTGTTTATACTTTATGCGGGGTGATCGGTCAAGGGGGATCGACCCTCTTCGAGATGAAGAAACAAACAGGACCTGTTAATGTTACATATGCGTGAAACGTATTGAAGTGCACTTGTGCTACTCTGTGTTCTCCAATAGTTGTGCATATTTTAAGGACGTTATAATATTAGTGATTGTTACCTGTGTTACCTGCAAATCAGGGTGAGTTATTCACTGAGTACTTCAAGCATGCTTAGTAATTATTTTACTGATTGTTTTAAATGAAGATGCTGTTGATGATTTATGTTGATATTGAAAGTAACTCATGAGATAATTAGGGACGCTACCTAGACTGTTAAGCTGCGGTGACACAGTCGTTATTTGGGGGCTGAGGTTTGAAAGCGCTGCGGTGCAATGGGGACTGTGGGCTGCGGTTGTACAGTTATCTAACCCATTAATGACCTCAGTCCAGTTTTGGACAGAAAAGTCTGTCTTGCAGAGGTAGTGCGGGAAGAGGGTGTTTGCCCTTTCCCAAGATCAGGTTGATACAGCATCAATAAGTGTCAAGTAGTTGATTACAGTAATTTGGCTGCGGTCAATGTATTTATCTTTAGTTGATTATATTGCAACATGGCCTTGTACAGTAAGATGCACGATAAATGCTAAGGAAAGGTATGCTTGAGTGCTCACACATGTTTTTCTATATTTGATAAAGGTGCCGTAAGGTGATATTGGCAGTGATATAGCTGGGGATCATCTCTGTGATCGTGTTGGCTTTTGTTTAAGTAAGTGATCGTTTGTTTTATTTGTTGTGTATCTGTTGATTAAGAGATTAGGATGTCTTAAAGCAACGCTTAACCATCTTCCTGACGATACTTTATATCTCAATATTGTCCACGCCCTGTGATGCTACGTTCTTGATTTACGTAGTTTAAGATATCTATTTGATATTCTGTTCAGAATGCTCTTCGAGAGTATATGTTACTGAAGGCCGCTTACATGCCCAAACAATCAAAAGCAAAAATTTTAAATTATGTCAGTTAACGATTATAGGACGATATATAATCATAAAAAACTACAAATTCAAAATACCTAGATAATACGAATAACACATTTGTTATACATACAACTCACCATGATTTTTGCAATTCAAGTTTCATTTAAAAAACAAACAACAACAATTAGGACAAATTAAAACGAAAACAGAGCATCACAACGCGGAAAAGTTTCAAAATTGTAGTCTCGAAAAACGTCAACTATATCGCACTTTTAACAAATTAAAACCTAAATTAAACTGCACTGTTGATGCGATAACAAATTAAATGTTTTAAACAATCACAGACCGAGTTTTACAACGTACTGAACGACAAAATACACTGCCAGCACGTGTTTAGTAAAAGGAAAACAACAAAAACATCAGTTGTTAGCGATGACGAAGACAGAAGAAAAGCAGTGGGGCTGATGACTGGCGCGGCATTTACGCTATAGGAACAACGGTGCTAGGTACAGAATGGGTACAGACTGAGTCAGAGAAATTGGAAAATTAAAGATGCGGCTACACGATTACGTACTACGCGACAAACTACTTACTAACAGTGTCGGATCTATACATTTCTCATATATAGGTCAATTCTCTTTGTGATGCTCCTCCACCTTTTTACGTAAATAACTCTTTTATTGGCGAAATAATCTGAAACATCGTCATGGTTTATGCTGTTCGTTTCTCTGCCTTTACGGACAGACAAGAGCTAAAGAGTTATTAAATTTTTCTTGACATAACAAGGGAAATCTCCTTTTTCCGAAATGATTTGTGACCGATGCCTAAAGCGCGTGGTGGAAAACAATATTCAGGTTCGGAAAGTAGTACAAAAATTGATTCTTCAAAAGGTAATTTTTTTACATTAGTTGACATTTGAATTGAGACATGAAGTTTAGTCAGGTAGGTAGTACTCACCGAGTAAAGTAGTGTGGTAGTATTTATTAGAATTTTGTTTATTATTTGTTTAAAAATCAATGTGACTGAGATACAGGCTCTTAAAGCTTTCTTAATCGAAGGAAGTTCCAGTAGGTAGGGCCCTGGCTTCAGCCTTCTGTCAGCTCTTCCCGCCAAACTTCGTTTGTCCTAAAAGATATCCTCCTAACATTATTTCAATATATCAATCCGCCTTCGACGGGTAGAGGCATTAAAAAAACTCGAGTCTGTCATAAATCTACCTAACTAAACAATGACGTCAATGCATATTTGGCGAGAACAGCTGACGAAGGGCTGCAGCCTGGGCCGTACCAACCGGAATTTCCACCGATTAAGAAAACTTTAGGAGCATGTATCTCAAGCTACATTGGCTTCCGTATGGAATTAATACTACCACACGATTCTACTTGGTGAGTACTATTTACCTGATTTAACTTCATGTCCAACTCGTCTGTCAACGAATACAATGACCAAAATAACAAATAACAAAATTAGAAAACAGTTTTCCCCCTTCCTTGAGATATGGTGTATCCAATAAAAAATAGTTATCAAAATCGGTTTATAATCAGCAAAGAAATAGCGAAACATACACAAAAAACAGTTCATTAGTTGAATTTAAACAATCCTACCTTTTGATCCAATTTGTTTGTGTCTATAATGGTCACAGCCCTATTTTACACCATGAAATTGTTCCAACCTACAGAGTTCATATCAGGTCCTAAAACAACACTGCCTTATATACTATAAGTACCATTTTCTAAAAAATACAAAAAACAAAATGTGAACCTACGTTATAATAAAAACTCACATATAAACACAATTTATTATTAAAGTTTAAATCAGAGGATTGATTTACATCTGGTGCCCATAAACGTACGTCTCAACGAAAGTAACTTCTGATCTTCTCAATGGTTTCTCATTTGACGTGTATATGCCATAGATAAAATAATTACATAAAGAGTATCTCCTGTATGGACCGACCGTGTTTTTAATTTTTTTTAATGGACATGTGTGGATGCTTGTAAATTTGTCATTAATGTTCCCAGATATTCTAATATATAAGCCTATTTTACAGACCGATGTACACGAACGAAGTTACAGGCAAAAGCTACTATTAATAAAAAAATTGAATTGTCAGATTTAAATTTTGTTTCTAATGACGAATGAACTCCCCAGCAAAACAATAAATACAAATTATTCTAGAAACCTCACTTTTAAAATCAAGTTTATTTATTATTTAACCTGACAACAGTTTAATACATATTTTAATTACAATTATATATTTATTCTATTGCTTTCAAATTAGCATTTTTCAAGACCATGGCAGTATCGTGATGGCCTAAAAAAATCATTTATAATGTAGAAACCAAAGGCTATAATGAGGGAAGCATGAGCGAACTATCTGTACATTTTTGTACTGCACTCTAATTGTTTGATTATTTTGAAAAAATGTGTTGACTACAATGATAAAACTAAAACAAGGCCATCATATAAGTTTTATATTACTTTTAGGTAATTGTGTGCTGTATGGACGTACAGATAAAATATATGAAACTGAAGCCTGTAAATAGATCACGGATGTATTAGGCTTGGAAAACTGTAATAGACGAAAGATATTTCACGGAAGACATCTGAACAATCTTAAACAACAGGACATTAAAGAGGGGAATGTATGGGAAGTTCTATATGAGACAGAAGTGGTGGAAAATCGAACTACATGGGAGAGAAGGGATGAGGAAGAATAAGTGGTGCTGTGGTAGATATGGAATACAATAAATGGATTTTAAAAACCTTTATGGAATATAAAAAAATATTATTATCATTACATTACCTTCTTTTCAATAAGATTTACTCTGTAAAATTTGCCAGTTTAAGTAATTTAATAATAATAATAAATATTTTTTTTCCTTCCAAACGGATGCAATTTTTAGTTGAATATTTAAGAAGTCACTTTAACTAAAACTGTATGGATCCCCATGTTTAATTATTCTAGATCATGACTTATGTACCTTGTGATTTAGCCAAAATATAAGGACTCGGAAAAACGTTCATATTTACATTCTTCGTCAAAAGCCATCTTACTAATGAAGTATGACCAAACATAGCAGCCAACTGAATGGGACTGTAACCATGAACAGTAGCAGCATTTATATCAGCATTTGCATGGTACAAAGTATGGATGCATGAAGCATCTCTGCTCGATTTATTTTTTATTCTCTCATACACTGCCAAATAAAAGGCTGACTCTTTGTTTGAAGTACATTTTCTAATATCTACTTCTAAAATAACAATGGTAATAAGTTTTAGATTAATAATACCAAATAATCCTGAAAATTTGATACCTTTGAAACATTTGTATACCTTTTAATTTCTTTATGTCAATCGAGAAAAGTATTTGTGATTTTACTAGTTAAAACATAAAACTGAATAAAAATTTATACTTACTGCAGAAGTCCAGCATGTACTTAACAACTTGGGTATTTCCAAACAAACAAGCTCTCTAGAAAATGTTTTTTTTTTATGCTTAGGATTAGAAAAATTACAAAACTTACCAAGAAAGGAGTATAGCCATCTTTAAAACTATTATTTGCAAGATAGGGATATTTTTTTAACAGTAAAATGCAACTGGTTACATCATTATTCTTAAATAAAATATTTAATCGAATAAGAGCGTTATAAATTAAATTTAAATATTTTATACCTACTTCTAGAGCTTCATCTAACATAAGGAGGAATGAAGAATCATGTCTTTGTTTTGATAAAATATACAACATAAGAGAACAAATTATAGTGAATAAAGAAACACAAATTACTAAAATTTCAATGGCAATGTCAAACATTTTTAAAAGAAACCAAAATTTAAAACACTTAAAAGACAATACTATGTAGTTGAATAACATTCAAAATATTTATATCGTTTATAAATTACACTAAAGATGAAATACAGGATTTCCTATACTTTTGCTTGTCAACGTTATTATTTAATGGTAATAGTGAAATTCTAATTGTCAAATTAAAATTGTATTCAAAACAGAAAAATTTAACTTTTACATGTTGCCAGCTTTTAAAACAACTGACAATAATTAAAATAATGGAGACAACAATGAAAACAAATAACATTTTGGAGTTATTTATTAAATTGCTTAATTATTAGCAGTTCTTTAAAATATTTATAATTTTAATCAGCAATCATATCAATACTAACTTCATCTCCAATATTACTAGGTGAAGTTTCTAATTCCGCCACATCATTTGATTCACTAAAATGTTTGCTTTTAGAGCCGTAAAGAGAAAAAAAAATAAGACATACCTGTCTAAAGATGGTTCATTGCTGAACATTTCTGTTGGAACAGTTGGAGGGGCTCTTTCAGGAACTAATTCTATAAAAGATTGTCGTGATTGTAAATGACGTTCTACTTCTTCTGGTGTCATATGTCCATCAGACATTGTATTGCTACTAGCAGATATACTTGTTAAGGGCACCTGTAACTACACTTGTCTATAACTACACTGAATTTAGTTATAAATTGCAGTAAATTACCAAAGGTTGATTTATATTAGATTTAGGTGTTCTTGACAGAGGTCTTTTACGCTTTACTGTAGTAAATACTTTTGATGATGAACCGACATTCAGCGACCCGTTACCATAATTTATGTTTGAGAGTTCAATTTTTTTCCTAAAGCAGCAATTACAAATCACATTGCCCTACAATGTAATGCAAAACTAACCTTTTACATGAATCATTTCTTGGCGATTCAGTGTCATCAGATGAATCTGTGTTTTCAGAATCGGACGTTGAATTTTCGACTTTTTCATACTGCAGCAGACGATCTAACAAAAAGTTCCTATCTCTTGTCACAATTAGCAATTGTTTCTGTGATGCTCGAAGAGCCTCTTGGAAACATTCATTTTCCTGGTAAACGTGCTCATTACTTTGTAATTTAACATGTAATTTTTACTTACATATAAAAGGGTTTTTAGCTTTTTCTTTAAAAATTTGTACTCTTTTTTACATTTGGATTCTTCTTGAGCTTGCTGTTCCTCTTCTGCAGCAGCCGCTTCGTTGGCTATTGACCTACAGTACCACCCATCTAACATTTTTTAATAAATATAAGCTTTCTTGCTACATTTTACAGGACAATAATTTCTAAAAGGCTTTGCACGATATTAAAAAACATGCTTAGGTATATCACTTTTACAAAACCACAACATATAAAATCAAAGAAATCAACGACGTGACCTTATCTATGACGTGACTTTATTCATAGATTAATTTACGAAAGTTATGTACCTTTACGTTATGTAGTTAAGTACATTACTGTAAAAAAATATGCTAATGGTGTTCACAATAAAAAAGCTTCACGACTTGCAACACCAACAATAATAAACATAGATTTAAGAAATATATACAGTTGACTCAAACTCTTCTGATAAACTGAATTCATACTGAATTATAGACTTTCACCAGAGAGTGTACTTCATAGATTAAGGAAACATTACATATTATATATCTCTAATTGATTCCTTATCTATGTTAATTCCTCATCTCTATAGATATCCTGTTTCTGTCTGATCCTAACCAAAATATATTTCTTTCAACTTCTTTAATCTATGATCCTAACCTAAGTGAATACAACAATTTCCTAAGTATACAACACGAAAGGAGGAAAGGTTTTAATTAGCAAAATTGAGTAAATCGAGGTATTATCTAAAATGGAGACAAGTATGGAAATTGATGAAGTACCCCAGTCACACTCTTCAAAATCTAGCATGAATGCAAAGATAAAACATCACAACATCCCTTGGTAAGTGGCATGTATTGTCTATTGTATTTCTAATATGTGCTTAAATTTGTTATATAGGATTGAAAAATATCGTCCGGAAAAATTTGAAGATATCGTTGGGAACGAGGATACGGTTAGGAGATTGGCAGTTTTTGCTAAACAAGGAAATGTACCAAATATAATTGTTGCTGTAAGTAATGTCCGCAATTTATTTGTTCTCTACTTGTAACAGAAAAAAATAGGGCCCTCCAGGTGTTGGTAAAACTACAGTAGTATTGTGTCTTGCAAGGACACTTCTGGGACCCTCATTTAAGGATGCTGTATTGGAATTAAATGCCTCAAATGATAGAGGAATCGATGTTGTAAGAAATAAAATAAAAATGTTTGCCCAGCAGAAAGTAACACTTCCTCCAGGACGACAGAAAATTATTATATTAGATGAAGTTGATAGGTATTAATAATTACAAATATCATGATAAAAGGTGAAAATGTGGTGTATATTTTAACAGTATGACAGAAGGGGCACAGCAGGCTTTAAGAAGGACAATGGAAATATATAGCAACACAACAAGATTTGCTTTAGCCTGCAATTATAGTGAAAAAGTTATCGAGGCTATTCAGTCTCGGTGTGCGATATTAAGATACTCAAAATTGACTGATGCTCAAATTTTAGCAAGAATTATACAGATATGCCAAAAGGAAAATGTAATTGTATTTAGTAGGAGGGTGTTTTTAATCATATTACGTAGGGTCTTTTGTAGGTAGAGTACACTGAAGATGGACTGGAAGCTATAGTATTTACTGCCCAGGGTGATATGAGGCAAGCACTAAATAATTTGCAATCAACTCACAATGGGTTTGGTGTAGTAAACTCCGAGAACGTATTCAAAGTTTGTGATGAGCCTCATCCTTTATTGATCAAGGAAATGTTAATGCATTGTATAGATGCAAACATCAGGAAAGCTTATAAAGTATAATTTTTGTTTTTATAAGCACACTTTTATATATATATACATATTTCTATTTTTAAAGATAATGGAACACTTGTGGAACTTGGGATATGCAGCTGAGGATATTATCAAAAATTTGTTCAAAGTTTGCAAGAATTTGGACATACATGAACTGCTGAAGTTAGAATTCATTAAGGTTTGAAATTATTCTTTACTTACTCGTTATTAAATTTTATCGTTGTAGGAGATTGGTGTAACTCATCAAAGAATTGTTGATGGTACTATCAGTTTGTTACAAATGTCTGGACTTCTTTCAAGAATGTGCTTACATGGTAAACATTTTCAGGGGAGAAAATAATAATTTTTTTATAATAAAATACTTTAACTTTTTTCTTCAATAAATATTCTTTATATATGTAACTATTTTTTTCTCATATACTTTAATGAGAAGCTGAAAAATAAATAATATGAAGTAACACTAGTGACAGAAGAGTATTGAATGAAAATGAATAAAAATAGGTAAAAAATATTAATATGTAACGGAGGTGAAGGTAGTAGGGTTGGAGCAAATATAAAAATTGGGAGACGAAAAACTAGAAGTCGCCGATTTTTGAAATATAGGAAGTCCGATAAGTTAGAATGGAAAAGTAGACACAAAACAAAGAATAGGTAGGACACCTACGAAGGACCAATCAGAGGCAACACTAGAATCATAAATAGTTGTAGAGAGGGGCAGATAACCTACACCAATTAATATTTGGTTCAGGATATAAAAGAGTGGAGGGCGTGTTTAAATAAGCAGTCTTTGGATTGACGGCCTTATGACCAGAAAAAATTAATGTTTTAATTCTATTTTCGAAAGTTTATGAGTGTTACTTTTTATTATTGCAGATAGATTTTGTGTAACGTTTTTGCCAATTTTTAATAACAAATATTGTATTGTGTATAAAATTATCTTTATATTTGAATTATGCACAGATACATTAGATAAATATGGTTGTGAATTTGCCAATTATCACAGAAAAATGTAACACTTTATATACAGTCAATACCAGTGGTTTTTGCACATGATGAAACTTATTGTAATGCAATATTACAGATACAATAATTTAAAATTGCGGCAGATGATGGCACTTTAGTTTTAATATACAGGGTGATCACATAAAAAGAATTATATTGTGAAGTTGTCCGCAGCTTAAATTATTATTCCTTATTTTCGTTAAAAAATGAAGTAGCGGCAGCTTTTATATAAACACCCGGTACAAATAGTTATATATAATTAATATAAAGTTCAAAAAAATCACAAACACTCTGACACTGTAGGTAACTCTTCATTCTTACATAAAAAAGGATAAAATGACTAGCACGAACGTTTCTCATCATTAATAATTAATTACTTATATGTACAAAATCGAATACATACCAAGTAAAAAGTAAACCAAATCAAATTAAAATTACTAAAGTATTTTAACTTACCAAGCTAATCTCTAAAGTAGAAAAACTTATAATAACTACTTACTGAAAAAAGCATTTAAAAACTTTACAAACGAATATTCTGCTTATGTAATCTATTTAATTATTTAATCACTAATGAACTCTAAATGTTTCGAATATTTAGTTACTTTCTTATTTTATTTGCTTAAACCAATATTCCTGCAAGAAATTCAATATGCGAAAAGTGGCGAATTATATGGACTTTATTCTTTTTTTTTTAATTGATTGCCACTGCACTTGTACTTTTAAATAGCAACTTTAAAACATAGTTTTTAATTAATGTAATAAGAAAAGCAAAATGGGAATAGGATTTTAGTTGACACTTAATCTGAACATACTTCAGAATGTTCATCCCACGACGAAACCTAAAATAAACGATATAATTTCAAATACCATTGGAAACAATAAACTGTTTTAAAAGTAGACAAGCACTCTGCAGTACTGCGCATTAATTACATGGTTTAAAATGAAGTAACTGAATGATTTAGAAAAATTACACCACTTGATGAATAAATACAGATGTGGTAGCTATCATCATATTGGAAGAAAATTTTCTATTTTTTCTTTGTTCGAATGTCGTATTTGATGTATGTAGGTACACTATATTCAAGTGCTACGCAATTAGATACTAACAATTACCTATTATAACGTTAAAACACTCTAACCCTAATAACGCTGGTTTTTAGTGACCTATCCATATTTGCCAGATCTTTGAGATTGAATGTGACATTATGTTATATTTTTTTAACTTAATTTATCGCTATCCAGAAAAAGTATTTTCGATTTTGATAATAAATTATAACCCATTTGATATTATACAAATTTATAATTTGCAGAGTAATAAGAAGCCACAGTATCTTTTTATTTGCGAAGCAGTTCAACACTCGGTCAAATACTATAAAAATATACTAGTGTTATTGTTTATGGAGATAAAATAATTCCAAAAACCATATCGAAACCTGAAGTCTTTAAGCTATGAAAGAAATTAAATATAACTGCATACCTGGCAATCACGACTGCAATACCATTGGTTTCCGCATCCGGCGCACACAAACTGCGCAGGCTGCTGATTACATCCTTGGCATTGAGGAATTTCAAATCCCATCAAATCGCAACTGCTGTCAGTCCGATTACGATCTCCACCCTCACCTTCATCGATCACCAACCTATCGGCACTATCTTCTGCTTCATCTTCATCCTAAATTATTTTTGCCCACAAATAAAATTTCAAAGCCAAAATTTTAATGCTAAAGAGATTTTAAAATTACGTACCGCTTGAGAAGTAGTCTTCGATTTATTATGTATGTCACATTGAGTAGCTACGGGAGTTATCGTTATTTGGTGTCTGGTCTAATAAAAAAAAAAAGTAACAAAGATTATATTACAACAGACATTTGACTATAAAAGAAAGCTGCCGATTCGAAATTACCTTATTATGAGTTAGGATGTCAGAAATTGATACATTTTCGGAATTGTTGAGCAAATTGTTGGAAGTCTGAACGTTCGTTGACATCGTAGATGCAATACTTTTTTCGGGAGCGGTTAATAGTTTTGCTAGAGTAGGACTGAACGTTGTTTTATTCTCTGTTTTAGGTTGGGCCTAAAATATTTTAAAGTTATAAACTATAAACAAAATCAGAATAAATATTTAAAAAAAAACAGAGCTTGTAAATTATATTTTTTTTATGCTAGGTATGCTTTTACTAACCTGCGTTAGAATACCATGAAGCAACGAATTCTTTGGTTGAGGCGTTGAAACTGGTACAGGATGAACTGTGACCTCTGGATAAGGAGGAGGAGGTTTGAGGGCGTTTTGTATGAGTTCACATCGTTCGTTTTGAGACAATTTTGCAAACTGCATCAGGACATCTTTGAAAGACGGTTCATCAGAGGTACCCTGAATCTCAGGGACTGATCCACTTAGTTTTGAACCGTTATGTTTTGACTGCAACAAAAACTTACTTGTTGAGAATGTTGTTAATTAAAATTTAAATTTAATCTAGGGACGGTGAGCAGTCGTCAGGAAAATAAAATACTTAATCGTAAGCAATTGTACTTGTACGACGTTTTGTCATGCTTTTTACATGGACTTCCTCAGGTACCTACATATTGATAAGTCAATATTTTCACACAGTCAATTAAAAACTAATTACTTAAGTTAAAAATTGAATTGACTGAAAGTATAAGACACACATTTGATTTAATTATTAATCTTTTTAATGTAAAACTGATTTAATTTCATTCCCAGTAGTTAATGAATTAAAATTTGTTGTTACTGTAGCAACCTCGCCGGGCATCGAACCCGGGTCCCTGGCTTTACGCTCGAATGTTCTGACCACTAAGTTACAAGTGATGATAATGTACAATATTAATTTATAAGTACCTGAGGAGGTTCAAAACAAGTGACAAAACTACATAATTTTATTATCCCGAGATTTGTGTCTCCAAAAAATTTATAAAGGCAATTAAAATAATATAAACCATAAATACAATACATACGCTGACGTTTTCGATAGCATTAAAAAACATCCCCAATTCAGCATTCATATCCATTTTATTATGTAAGTTATGTTTTACTTGAGCACCAGACCCTAAAGCCATCGAGGCAAAATTCATCGTCCCACTTTGACTCATTCTCGATCCGACAAGATCATTTTGTTGCGAGGTCAATGAAGTCCTAATTCTACGTCCCCTTCTGGGCACAGTTTCGGGATGCCGTTGTCGGTAATCGGCAATAATTGATTGTACATCGATCACGGGTCTCTGCTTTATGTTCTTCGAATCAGTGGAATGACCGTTCATTTCCACATAGTTGCTTAAAATACTCAACGATCCCTGTTGTCTGTTTCCATCGTGGTAGTTGGAGTTGGACACTTTAGAACCTGCTTGCTGAGGACTTCTTGAACCCTGATTAGATTCGACACAGTTATCGGATCGATCGGGATCTCCCAAGTCTCTGCTATTGTACAGCATCACCTGTTTCCTTCTTTGCATTCGCAATAGAAGTTCTTCTTTCAGTTTTCTCAAATGTATTATGCTGTTCCATTCTCTTTCTTTTTCAATTGCTATGTCGTTAAGTGTTCTTATTTCTAATACTATTCGTTCTATGCGAGACTGTATTTGATCGATAGTCTTGCAGGCTGGAGACTCGATTAGTTCATTAAATATTTTGTTGCGAATGCTGTAACTCTGTTGAACTTCCGATTTCAGTTTTTTCACGGTCGATTCGTCATCTTCCTTTTTTCTTTTGTTAACTTTCCCATTTGCTGTTGTGTTGCCGTTTTGTGGTTCCCGAACTGACTTATCGTCATCGTTAATTCTATCCGTAATATCTTCGTTGGAACAACTGCCGTTTTCCGTTACTTCCTCGTGGAAGTCAGAGTCCTTTTTCGTGGTAGGATAATCGTCGGACGAGTTTTCGGGTGAATATTTTTGATTTTCCGAATTGGTTTTGTTCAGTTCTTGGGAGTCGTTAGTTTCAGCTGAATCATTGTGGTTTTCTTGGCCGACAGTGGGAGAATCCTGTACTTCTGATGTGACATCCGAATTTTCTTGAACTCCTTCCATAGCATGCCTTTTGATCAAGCTGAAACCAATGGAAAACGAAACTACATAACAAGTGTAACTAATAAATGAAACTCGATTTTAATAAGCGTACCATAACTACTAATAACAACAACCCTGGATAAAGCTATACGTAGCTATAATGCTACTGATGGGTTAATACGTGGCCCACCTTCTTGATTTTCACAAATAGGTGTATGATTTTATGATATTCATAACGTTTTTATGTTTGTGCGTATTACTTGCGCAATCAGAACACACAGGTATATTACACGAACGCACACATACAATTGTACGAATATATTAAATATTACAATACAATAACTTTCAAAGAACCCATACAGCGGCCTTGTACCTATTTA